TATGTAGATTTTTATTAAATTTATTTTCTGAATTATTTTACACTTATATATAGTGTATGTAGTAAAAATATTTTCAATATATTAAAAATTTTTAAATCGCCGAAATATATTTTTTTATCATTTTTCTATATTCTAATATATATATATATATATAAAAAAAAATTGATATTGATATATTTGAACTCTAATTTATATACTGGATGATATACTGAACATCCTTGCATTGATTATACATTACTCAACGTTCTTTCACGTTATAAGTATTTGGAGCAAATTATACAATAGCATCAATAATCAAAAAGAAATCAAGAATATAATCAACATATCCCTTATATTATATATATATATATATATATATATATATATATTTATATATATATACGTTATGCACATATGTGCATAACCATATATACTTTCCAAAAAGTGGGTGCTTATTAGTCTTGCTACGTTACTGCTTTCTGCTACGGAAGGCCAGAAGCATTTTCAGCGGCGGCATCTCGCGTATACCGGCACGGTAGATGAACAAGGAGAACACGTGATTATCGGTCCTTGTCTCTCTTACGTGCGTCCGCGTGAGCGATGCAGTTGGTGTATGTACGTGTACAGACATACACCACTACATAAAACCCGAGAATTGGTTTCTCGGCGTTGGCAACACTGAAACCGGAGTTTCGCGTTGTCACCGCACGAGGTCTCCAATATCAATTCGGAGTTTGCCTGGGTGTACTGCCGACCCTTAAATCACATCTTTTTTCATTGTCCAAAATTCTCGGACTATTCGAATACCCTAATATCCTTCATTTACCGCTTTATTCCTGGAGCAAATCTGGACATCCTATGCTAACATTTTCCAATAACACCAAGATATACAGAAACCTATTGTAACATCCCGTCATTTTTCGAAACCGTATTTTGATATGCTACAAATCCTTCTGAATAATTACTTAAGAAATGCAATTGTATTTCTCAATATTATATTATTATTCATTATTTATAATTATTGGGACGATTTTACTAACCGTACTAACATATAGGGTCTTCCTAGTTCTAACTAAGCGGCTCAGCCAATCGGACAGCGTCACTAGACCATACCGGAGCGCATACTTCCAACCACACGTATACATTCGTGCGACTAACTGAACCGCATATAAATGCGATACTAACATGTTCAAAATTAAGAAACAATAGGACTTATGGAATCATAACATAATATAATATAATTATAATATTTCGAATACTCGAATGATTGATAAGATGCTTCAACCACCTTTATAATAAAGGTCTAGCCTAATAAAGTTATTATGAAGATTCCATAAATCTCTAGCGATGCCTAATCTGAGAAACGCCATTTTATCGGGCGTTAACTTGTCAATTATATTCACGAAACCTTACCTTCTAGATTATTGAATAATCTCATCAAAAATGACATCTCAAGAATTTAAGATTTTAAGATCTAATATATAATAAATAAATTACAGTAAGGTTTACGTAAATATAACTAAGAGAAAAGGCATATATTGTATCATGTAATCGAAATATATAAACCGAACTCTCGCCGCTACATTGTGGAATTGTAATCGTATAATTTAGAAATTCTCAGCGTTCTTGCTCATATATTAGCGACAATTTTTACCTTATAATTTTATTTCTCAATTTTAAGTAATATAAGATAAATTATATGAATTGTGCGATTCCACGTTTATAGAAATAAGCACATCTATGCGCGAACTCTCTGAAATACGCTCGTTAAAATAATCATGTGATTAATTTATATCCGTTAGTTTAAGGCGACATAATTCTCAGCTCTTTGTCTGCCGAAAATCCTCGCTACTGTTCGATGCTTCTTGGAATCGTATCATGGCGAATCGTTATGCACCCTTCCTCATACCGCATCGCCTCGATATCCTACGCACCGAAGCTCATATATGTATATCAGCTTTTGTTGCAATCTGACTATTTTAAGCGAAGTGCAAAGGTTTCGAGAATAATATTTGCAAGCAAATGGATCCGTTTGTTTTTATTATATAAAGAGAAATCACACTATAAGAAGAAAGGTTAGCGCCTGTAAAATAAACAAAATATGCTTTCTTATAATAATTTCATATAACAAGCAAAATAAACATTCTTAAACTTTCTTTCATAAAATATACTGCATACCTTACTGAGCTTATCATACACTTATTCTACAGACTTTTCTGATCTAACATACATGTGCTCGCTCTTGCATCATCCATCTACAAAGACCCGCTCATTCTTTCTACACTCATCTTTCTTACATTCATCTTTCTTACACTCATTTTTCTTATAGCGTTTTCGATTGGGAAAAAGTTAGTGCGCACCAGTGCGCACTCAGTTCACACGAACATTGGACAAGTTCCATGGGTTGCACTGAATAGTGCAGGTGAAAAAGAACACGCCGAAATTTTCAGTGCCACTTGAGTTGACTAGATTCCGGGAAGAACGAAAAAGTAACCTCGACATCTTGTGTTCAGTTAAGTAATGATTTTTATTATATGTAATTAAATATAGAATATGATCAAGAATATCACGTATGACAAATATAAAAATTATTATTATTCAGTATAAAAATGCTATTACATTAAATACATTAATTATATTTTAAAAAAGAGTATAGGTTCGATGTTTATATAAAAAGATATAACACTTACGGTGTCATTATCCATTTTTTTCACACATTCTACATAATTTACAGTTTTTGGAATTATTCTTCTAGTTCGAAGAGTTGTAATTATTTCTTCTTGCTCGCTTGAACTAGAAGAAGATTCCAAAAATGTCTCCAAAATATTAAAGAGAGCCAAATCCGAATTGCTCATTATGTCGAATTTTCGTTCAAAAGAATGCCCTACTGCTTGCATGCATCCAGTGCACTGAACTGGCACCGTCAAAATATCTCGTGCCACTTAGTGCGCACTGAGTGCGCACTATGCGAGTGTTGTGCGTTCAAACGAACACGCAACACTAGCCAAGTGCGCATTGGCACTACCAATCGAACACGCGCCTGACATTCAGTGCAGCCAGTGCACCCCAATCGAAAACGCTATTACACTCATTTTTCTTACACTCAGACACGAAACTACTCACTTTTCCACGGAACGTGGCTCCCTCTCTAATTTAAATCCAACAGCTTTAACACCCGCGTCTAACAGAATTAAAACTGAGCCTACGGAAGGCCACACTCTAGACCTACCGGCAGCCGCTTCAGACCTATTAAATCCAAATCTAAAGAAGATACCTCACAAGGAGAGCTATCACCTATCTATTTAAATACTAAAGGACCAATTACCAGAAATACATACGGAAATAGACCAATACACAGCCTATTTGCAAAATTAAATTAAGTAACATCTGTATACTCATATAAAATACCCAATAAAATGAAATAAACCTATCTATTTGTTAATTCAAATGAGACCTAAATTTTCGGATAAGATTGTACAAAAACTCAGGAAAATAGGTTTTTATTCTATTATATCGATATTATTATTGGACTATTAATTGACTTAGCTACAGGATTAATATATAGATATCGATTTGTTCACAGTCCTCGTAGAAAATCTTTATATTCCCAAAGGAAAATTAAGAGTAGAAATTATAAGATATCCAGAGGACAATTTTGACTTCTTTTACAATTTATAAATGAACTGCACAATTGTTGATAGAGCTATAAAAGAGTTTATGCTAAACTTGTTATTCAAAGCATTAGTTGGCGTCGTTTGTGATTTTATGACGGACGATTTGACCACCAACGAAATAATCTCCATTTTAGAAAACTTTAAGAATCTTACACGAGGTCTCGCCACGCCTACTTAAATTTCCCATCCTAGTGCCTTCCCAGCCCCCAGGGGATCGATTGTCTATTTGTGTCGATTTTTCTCACTTTTTGCACATTCATTTCACGTGAAGAAATACACGCGATTGGCTATGAGCAAGATGAAAATACGATATCCCTAGATTCACGGGAGCACAAACCATAGTGAACATTTCGTAAAGCGTATATGCATGCATATATGTTTCAGTGATACCTTTATCTTTATAACCTCTGCAGTTTGAACGGTGTGAATAAGAATGAATGTTACAGAGAAACAAAAAGAAATTATGTTAAATTTTATGAATAAACATTCGGATTTCGGTCGGGGGCGGATACATTTTTGAACATGCTTGAATAAAATTGTTGCGGCGTGTTATGAGAATTGATCGATATAAAACAATACATTAATAAAAAAGTAGTGTTTAAAAATCTTTTATTATAAAGTTAAGAAATGTACTGTGATAATCTTAATTATTAATTTATTATAAGATTATGAAATGTACTAATTTTATGTAATACAATTTATGTGATAATTATATATATAAATATATATATATATATATATATATATCCTATTCAAAATACCATCACACAATATTTCTTAATTCGTACTTCTTCTGCTTGCATTATATTTATATCATTAAATGGTATCGGCACTTCTCCTTCTTCCTCCAAATATATTTCATTTAATGGAATTCTCCATTTATAAGCAATGTTATGTAAAACACAACATGCATTTACAATTAGAGCTGTAAAGAATAGATTTAAAAAATACCTTTTCTTATCTCAATTATGCACTATAATTATTTACATACCAGCAAATTCTGGTGTATAATGTAATGTCCTCTCTTTTAATACGTATTTTAATCGCGCTCTACTCTACATAACATATAATGCAGTAGGATATACGACACATTTTGACATTATTCGACACAATAATTCTTGTCGAATAATCTCACGTGAAATATTTCGTGTTTTCACTATAGTGAAAATTAGCCAATCAAGTGAATGCTCACTTTTGTCATTTTCACTAGGTTTTGAGATACATAATCGACCCCCAGATCTCCAACATCAGAAGGTTGATTGTGTAATTTTTTCTAAAGTAAAAATGTGAAAAGTGAAAAATTTCTTCCAATCACACATCGATTTTATTTTAAAATCAATGCGTGATTGATGGAAATTTTTCACTTTTCACGTTTTCACTTTAGAAAAAGTTACACAATTGACCCCCAGTCTTAAAGCCTGAGCAGAATGGCTGACTTATAACCTTAAAACACTGTTTTATGCCCTAAGTCTTTGTCTTAGGTAACGCACAATACTGTGTTAATGTTTCCTGTCTTGTGTAGTATACGCGACGTTTTAAGGAATAAACGTAAAACGTATGTATATGTATAAACACAAATAACAATTCTATTATACAATTAATAATGAATATTTTATAAATAGTTATGACATAATACATTTTAAACTTATAAATATGTAATAATAATATTTCATATTCGAAATATATTTCAATAACTGTGAATATAACCTAACTTTTTTGTTCAAAGAAATTTATCTAATGTACTTATAAATAAAATGTTCTATTAAATTAAATATTATTTGATTTAATAGTATTATATATGTTTAAAAATCTTGTTAATTATTAAATTTGTATAATATTTAATTTAATTTATTTTACAGAAAACAATTTTAATTTCAGGTATATTAAAATGATGTATAGAAATAAGCAATTTTTATTGCTTGTTTTACAATGGATGCTTTTGTATAAATTATTAAAACGAAAAAAAAAACAAATTAGATGGTATAAAAGAAGATGGTACGTGCGACCAATAAACCAACTGAGATACAAATACGGAGATTATGAGACACTTTACCAAGAATTAAAAAATGATACATATTTATTTTTTCGTTATACGAGAATGAATTTATGTTTATTTAACAAATTACTTCAATTAACTGAACCTCATTTAACAAAAAATAGCTATCGAGCATTTCCTGCAGAACAGAGATTGATAATAGTATTAAGGTAATTATAAGTAATTCTTTTTTTTATTATTTTTTTTTCAAAATAATTATATCTTGTAGAAATAACAATAAAAAAGAAATTTTATTAAAGTAACAAAGACAGATTCTGATAGACTAAAACAGGTATTCTAGACTAAATATAAATGTTGAATAATATATTAAATAGTATTAATAGTATTTTATTTTTGTCAGATATACAAAAATTGCCTAAAATAATTATTACTCGAAACATGCTTTAATAGAGAATGAGAGAGAGAGAGAGAGAAATGGAAAATTAATAATCTTTTTATAATAAATAATATTAATAACATAGATATTTTAATAAAAATGTATTTCAGATATCTTGCCACTGGAGATCTTCCTTTGTCTATCGCTCTATCATTTCGAATTGGTGAATCAACAATGCGTATGTTAATTAAAGAAGTATGTCAGATATTAATAAATGTATTACAACCACTGTATCTATCACAACCAAATGAAGAAGAATGGAAGTCGTATGCTGAAGGATTTTGGAAGAGGTGGAATGTGCCAAATTGCATAGGGGCAGTAGACGGAAAACACATTACCTTGCAATGTCCCCCTAATTCGGGAAGTCTTTTTTATAATTACAAAAAATATTATAGTATTGTTTTGATGGCAGTGGCAAACCACGTATATAGATTTACGTTAGTTGATGTTGGTGCATACGGTGGTAACAGCGATGGCGGAATTTTTAACGATTCATTAATTGGGGAAAATTTAAAAAATGAAAACTTAAATCTACCAAAGGAAACATTCAAATTACCTGGAAGTCAAATCTGTACACCAACTTTTTTATTGGCAGACGATGCTTTTGCATTAAATACGAGAATTATGAAGCCATATACCGGAAGAAATTTAAATGAAGAACAAAAAATATGCAATTATAGATTTTCTCGAGCTAGGCGAACAGTCGAAAGCGCCTTTGAATATTTTCTAATATAATAGATGGAGAATATTTCGACAATCCATTTGTATGCTGCCAAAAACAGCCGATTTGATAACAACAGCATCGCTCTGCTTACATAATTTTGTAATGGTTGAAGAAGAACGCTGTAAACTAAAGTTATACAGCACAACTGAATTTCTTGAAAACGATAGAAATAATCAGGTAAAATAAACATTAAAATATTTTTATTCTGCAGATAATATATATATATATATATATATATATATATATATAAATTAAGTTATATATATATATATATATATATAACTTAATTTTGTGTTTAAACTTTTGATAAATTAAAAAAATTTTAATATTAATAATTAATATAATAAAATAATTAAATAAATGCAGATACATTATGTGTATATAATATTGTTATTAAAATATTAATTACTGTATATTTTTAAATTTAATTAACCATACTATTTTTATTTATAAAGGATATGCAGTGGTTGTCTTTTTCGGAAAACCTATGTTATAATGAACCCGTATCTTCTGCTTCGAAACAAAGAGACACATTGTGTAAATATTTCATATCACCTGAAGGAGAAGTACCGTGGCAATACGATTACGTGCGAAGAGGTACATATGGTGAAAATATTTAATAATATAAAAATAATGGTTTCTATACACATACATTTAATTTTCGGTTATTTATTTAATCTTATTTTTTCTAATAAAATGTTAGTATAAAAAAAAATGTGTTCAAGAATTATATAGCTTGATATTTTTTAGTAGCTTTTTGACAACATAATTTCTAAACTGAGCTCTACTTAAGTAAAAAAATGAATAAGATAAAGTTGGAATCTTTATATAGTTCTTGTGTTATATATAATTAGAATTTGACAATAATGCCGTACCGATCTTGCATATTGTTATATGTAAAGTTTATATACCGATTATCTCCTTACTGCTAGATCAATTAATATTAATTTCTACAACCTAATTAACATTATTTTCTGAAAGTTTATACATTGCAGCAATTAAGAAAAGTTTTCTTAATAGTGAATTGTCATTACAAGCAAAATATTAATGCGCATAGTATTACTTATATTTAATAATTATTTTTTTATTTATTAATGAAAGTCATTTATATATTTTGTTTTTATTATTTGTCTTTAGTCATACGGCATAATGTTTCAACTATATTGTTACAATTTTACAATAAAGCTTTAAAGTTGATCTAAGTTGATGTGTATCTAGTAATAAAGATCTATGTAAATAACAACAAATACCACAAATCGAATTTTTTTATATAATAATTATATAATTAGCAAGATATACATTACAAATGTATACAAATGAAGCAATTAAATAATAAACATAGTTCATAAGGAAAGTGCTTTAGAACTATTAATGCACATACAAATTAATAAGTAAATAAAAATAATAAAATCATAACGTCTCACTTTTAAAAAAACAAAATAGTACATATATTAAAAACATTATTTTTCTTAAATTACCTTTTAAGATCTTATATCACATGTAACAGTTTTAATAATATCACATATATAGTATAGTATAGTTAATATAATAATTGAAGATCACATATCAGATCATCTATCACATATCTATCCATCTATCTAAGATCACCTATCACATAAATAAAAAATCTTAAACAAAAATATTGCTTTGCGTATTAAATAATAAAATTAAATTAGATTTAAAAAACAATGTAACTGAAAATATTATTTTAAACTTAAAATTTTACTTAAAAGAAACAGTCTTTTTTATAATATCACATATAGTAATGTATCACATATTGTAATAAAAAATACTTTACTAATAAAAAATAAAAATAATTTATGAAAAAAATAAAAATCATTAAAAACAAAAAATATTACATTTGCTTTATATTGGAGAAAATAAAGCATCTGTTATCATTTTCTTTCTTATATTTTTCTCAGATTGTGGAAGATTTGTCAAGTGAGCAACAATAAATTGTGTAAATGCTTCATCTTCATTATTGTTTTCACGTTTGTTATCTAAAACATTGATGATTTTCTGGCTAACCGATGTAAATATATTTTCTAATTCCTTTGTTTCATCGACTTTACTTTTTTTAGATTTAGGTTTTGTATGTAATACATATAATTGTGAATCTTTGTCAATGTTGCGTTTATGTGTTACATGTGCTTCAAGAGTATCTTCTAAAATATTTTCTTTATTTTCACCATTAAAATTATTATCTTCTGTTTCGTGCATAGAATGACTTGATTTTTCTTTGGTATCAAATACTTCATTCGAACTAGATTGTGGAATTTCTGTTGATAGTTCTAAAGATGATGTAGATGTTGAAGTTTTATTTGCTTTTATATTACTGCATGTTCTGAAAATATAAGAATATATAAGTATATATACATATTATACAATTAAAATGTGGATTTTCAAGCAATTATCATTATAAACCTTCGTCTCTTGATATAATTGTCAAGAAAAGATAATTGCGTATAAAATGTGAAGGGTTTATGAGTTGAAGCACCACTTCCACTCTTATATTGACTATCTATTATTCGTTTCTCACGATTATATTGATTTCTAAGAGATGTGCATCTAGTTTGACAATAATCAGGTGTATAAAAGTTGCCTGTAAAAATGTTGAGATTTTATCATTATAATTAGCATAATATATTAGTAATAAGACATAATAAGAAATATTAATAAAAAATATTTGATATTTACCATAATTTTTATTTTGCATTATTTTAGAAATTTCTTTCCAAGCATTATCTTTAATTATTATATTTTTAAAATCTTTGTGTCCTTTATTGTACAGAAATGGACGTTCTCTATATAATTCAATTAGAAAAGCATCACCATCTTTTTCTTCTATAGAAATATTATTTTCATTTTCATTTGACACTTTATTGTCTGTATAATATGTATTATTAGGTTCACAATAGTGATGATCTTCCATTTTAACTAAAAGGAATTAATAAAAGGATATAGATAACATTAGATAATATATGTATACATACATATAGATTTTGTTAAATGTTATACAAAAATAATTAACAAGATTTTTAAACATATATAATACTATTAAATCAAATAATATTTAATTTAATAGAACATTTTATTTATAAGTACATTAGATAAATTTCTTTGAACAAAAAAGTTAGGTTATATTCACAGTTATTGAAATATATTTCGAATATGAAATATTATTATTACATATTTATAAGTTTAAAATGTATTATGTCATAACTATTTATAAAATATTCATTATTAATTGTATAATAGAATTGTTATTTGTGTTTATACATATACATACGTTTTACGTTTATTCCTTAAAACGTCGCGTATACTACACAAGACAGGAAACATTAACACAGTATTGTGCGTTACCTAAGACAAAGACTTAGGGCATAAAACAGTGTTTTAAGGTTATAAGTCAGCCATTCTGCTCAGGCCCTTAGTCTCGGCGTCCCTGGGGTATAGCCGGTATAAGCACAGATTAATAGACAGATCGCCAAAGGTCTGGATGAAGGAGAGACCAGCATTTCTCACTGATTTCAGCGCCATATCGTAGTAGTAGTCAATGCAGTAACTATTAATACGTTCCCAAGATAAGAGCGTCTCATGCTCATGAACTCGTCCGGCGGCATGTACGAGATTTATCTTTTCGTAGCGTTCGCGTATTTCGGAAAGGACAGAATTTTATGATGTTATAAATAAATAAATAAATAAAATATTAACCTGACCTATTATAATTATTTTTTAATAAATGTTTCATTATTATTATCATCTAAGTCTAAGTCGTTTAATTAATTTTTAGTTTTTTAATAATTAATTTAATTTATTCTAATCATTTTAATATGTGAAAAATACTAATACGTATACGTTTTATAATGAATTAATATATTTCGAGAGTCGAATTATATATTTTTAATAATATAAAAGTGTTCAAAAATTATATTTGACTTTTAATTTTAATTATTTTAGCAAAGAGTTCCGAAATCTCTTACACACATAATAGGGATTTTGTTCATCCATATAATTCGCAATTAAGTATATATGTTAATTATTAATTTTAATAAAATACAAAATTAAAATTAAAGGTCAAATATAATTTTTGAACATAAATATATTTAATTCGTTATAAAACGTATACCCGTGATAGTATTTTTCTCGTACAAAAATAACTAGAACAAATTAAATTACTCATAAAAAAATAAAAAATAATTAAATAATTTATATTATATATGATAATAATAAAACATTTTATAAAAAAAAACAGATTCAATAAATATAAGTATATATATAACATGTACTTATATTTATTGAATCTGTTTTTTAATAAAATGTTTTATAAGCTTAGAAAACTTGACTTTGACGTAACTAGCAAATTTTATTTAATTATTTCACGACGGTTTGACGTAATAAAATGTTTTATTATTATTATATAAAATATAAGTTTAAATTCTTTAATTAATTTTTAATCTTTTATGATTAATTTAATTTACTCTAATTATTTTTGTACGAGAAAAATACTATCATGGGTATACGTTTTATAATTAATTTAATATATTTGTGTTTAAAAATTATATTTGACCTTTAATTTTAATTTTTATTTTATTAAAATTAATAATTAACATATATACTTAATTGCGAATTATATGGATGAAAAAAATCCCCATTATGTGTGTAAGAGATTTCGGAACTCTTTGCTATAAAATAATTAAAATTAAAAGTCAAATATAATTTTTGAACACTTTTATATTATTAAGAATATATAATTCGGTTCCCGAAATATATTAATTCATTATAAAACGTATACGTGATATTATTTTTCTCATATAAAAATGACTAGAATAAATTAAATTAATTATTAAAAAACTAAAAAGTAATTAAACGACTTAGACTTAGATGATAATAATAATGAAACATTTTATTAAAAAAAGATTCAATAACTAGTAGGTCAGGTTATAATTTTTTATTTATTTATTTATAACATTATGAGCTATTAAGCTCATCATCTCGTTCGCTCTCTGTCTTGCTTTCATTCGGCAAGTCACAAACGATATATGATACTCGTATGTTCCTACTTCAACTCTCGAGAATCTGAAACAAACGAAACTCGTGTCCAATATACAGGGTGTCCGGTAACTAACAGACCAATGATTACAAATGGATTCTTTGGTCAATTTGGGAACGATTTTTCCTCAGCGAAAATGTCGAAAAAGGTCATCATTTTTTACAACTTTCCAATCTTTGTCATTATGTATCTTTATAACTAAGCCTTAAATTAAAATTTTATTATAGTAAACTCTACCTGAAATTAACTGAAGAATGTAATTATGTTAGACTTTTAACTCCAAAACGTTTAGTTTTCAAAAAACCTATTTTTTTCAATCGCTTATAACTCGAAAATTATTGACTTCTCAACATTTTTGCTAAGGAAAAATCGTCTCCAAATTGGCCAGAGAATCCGCCCTTAATCATTGGTCCGTTAGTTACCGGACACCTTGTATATATTATATAAAAGTGTATAGCACGTCAGAAGCTTGTGAGCTTACAGCGATAAGTAAAAACAATTGCGTATTTATTTCATTGCGTTTATCTGTTTAAACGCGCGCTTTAATTTTTCCAACGTTTTTGCCTGTTTATATTTTAAAGGTCCTCTCTTCTAAAAATCTTGTTTTAAAGATCCTCTCCGCGAGCAAAATTCGAAAACATAAATTATTTAATATTTTTACTTTATTATTTGTAAATCCTCGGTAATTTCAAAATTTTTCTATTTGAAAATTATTAATTTTCTATTGCCAATTAATTTTATCACAGACTTTACTCTTACTCCCATTGCACTTTCGTTTGCGGTTTTCAGTATACGATTTTTTATCGTAGTTACTGAAAATTATTATTGTGAATTATACTTGTGCAGTGATTTGAAGAATTTACAATTTCGTTGAAATTGTTGATTTTTCAAAAAAATTACGAGATTCGCGGAAATTGCGTGCTTTCTTGGCATTTTCCGTTCGCGGCAGGCGGTTTATTTTTGATTGTTGCAAGTGTTTTTTTTTTTTTTTATTAAAATAGATAATAATAATGTGAAATAAATCACGATATTTGACAGATGTGCATATATATAGAAATTGTAATAATAATAATATTATATCATAAAATTGTAAATTGTTTCAATTTTTTATAGACTGCGATAAAAGATTTTACATTTGGATAAGAAACTGCGGTAAGTAAAAATATAAAATTCTTGAAAACGTAAAAATATTTGATAACGTAAAAAGGTGAACTTTGAAAAATAAGGAACTTAAAAATTGCACTAATAAATGGGCTATATATATGTGAGCCGTGCGCGGATGTAAGGTGTGTTATATCGAAATTTAATTAATAGAATTGAGAATTAATCCCAATTTTAAGTCTTACAAATGTCCAAGCTAATTTTTTGTACCTCGTGTACATTTTTGAAAGTTATATCGAAAAATTAAATTTCAATATGCGTCTTACATCTCACATTTCGCATACGGCTCACATATAGCCTATTTATCTCTTATACTTTATTTCAACCCTTATAGAAATTTATTACTAGTAACGCCAATTTATCACTTATTTCGAGTAATTAATCACTTTTATTTCGAATACTTAAATTACTGTATATTATAGTATTTTAAATACTCAAAATAAGTGATTAATTGGCGTAGTGATAAATTTCTACAAGAGAATAAGGAGCCTTTAAATTCTTAATGTAAAAAATTTCAAGTAATTTTCTTTAATAAAATTTAATTAAAAAATTTAATTAAAAAATTTTTGAACACTGTGTTATATCACATTTAAAATCGTGATTATTTCAATAAAAAACATTTTATGTGTAAAAAATATATTTTTATATTTAATAAATTTTATATATATATGCATATATGTAAAATATTCTCTCTCTCTCTCTCTCTCTCTCTCTCTCACACACACACACACACACACACACACACACACACACAACGGGGGCCAAATCTCTCAAATTGGTCTCATGATCAATTAGCCTGGATTCGCACCAGGGGCAAAGTCTGTTGGTAATGTCAAACGAATTTAGCCTGGACTTGCACCAGGGGCAAAGTCTTTTGTCGAGTCTACGAAATTTAGCACGGACTCGAACCAGGGGCAAAGTCTTTTGGTTCAAGTCTACGAATTTAGCACGGACTCGAACCAGGGGCAAAGTGTGTCGGTAAGGGGCAAAGTCTATCGCACGAAGATGGCGGTCTCTTCTTTAGGCAGGCCTTTGGCGATCTGTCTATTAATCTGTGGTATAAGCACAGATTAATAGACAGATCGCCAAAGGTCTGGATGAAGGAGAGACCAGCATTTCTCACTGATTTCAGCGCCATATCGTAGTAGTGGTCAATGCAGTAACTATTAATACGTTCCCAAGATAAGAGCGTCTCATGCTCATGAACTCGTCCGGCGGCATGTACGAGATTTATCTTTTCGTAGCGTTCGCGTATTTCGGAAAGGACAGAATTTTATGATGTTATAAATAAATAAATAAATAAAATATTAACCTGACCTATTATAATTATTTTTTAATAAATGTTTCATTATTATTATCATCTAAGTCTAAGTCGTTTAATTAATTTTTAGTTTTTTAATAATTAATTTAATTTATTCTAATCATTTTAATATGTGAAAAATACTAATACGTATACGTTTTATAATGAATTAATATATTTCGAGAGTCGAATTATATATTTTTAATAATATAAAAGTGTTCAAAAATTATATTTGACTTTTAATTTTAATTATTTTAGCAAAGAGTTCCGAAATCTCTTACACACATAATAGGGATTTTGTTCATCCATATAATTCGCAATTAAGTATATATGTTAATTATTAATTTTAATAAAATACAAAATTAAAATTAAAGGTCAAATATAATTTTTGAACATAAATATATTTAATTCGTTATAAAACGTATACCCGTGATAGTATTTTTCTCGTACAAAAATAACTAGAACAAATTAAATTACTCATAAAAAAATTAAAAAATAATTAAATAATTTATATTATATATGATAATAATAAAACATTTTATAAAAAAAACAGATTCAATAAATATAAGTATATATATAACATGTACTTATATTTATTGAATCTGTTTTTTAATAAAATGTTTTATAAGCTTAGAAAACTTGACTTTGACGTAACTAGCAAATTTTATTTAATTATTTCACGACGGTTTGACGTAATAAAATGTTTTATTATTATTATATAAAATATAAGTTTAAATTCTTTAATTAATTTTTAATCTTTTATGATTAATTTAATTTACTCTAATTATTTTTGTACGAGAAAAATACTATCATGGGTATACGTTTTATAATTAATTTAATATATTTGTGTTTAAAAATTATATTTGACCTTTAATTTTAATTTTTATTTTATTAAAATTAATAATTAACATATATACTTAATTGCGAATTATATGGATGAAAAAAATCCCCATTATGTGTGTAAGAGATTTCGGAACTCTTTGCTATAAAATAATTAAAATTAAAAGTCAAATATAATTTTTGAACACTTTTATATTATTAAGAATATATAATTCGGTTCCCGAAATATATTAATTCATTATAAAACGTATACGTGATATTATTTTTCTCATATAAAAATGACTAGAATAAATTAAATTAATTATTAAAAAACTAAAAAGTAATTAAACGACTTAGACTTAGATGATAATAATAATGAAACATTTTATTAAAAAAAGATTCAATAACTAGTAGGTCAGGTTATAATTTTTTATTTATTTATTTATAACATTATGAGCTATTAAGCTCATCATCTCGTTCGCTCTCTGTCTTGCTTTCATTCGGCAAGTCACAAACGATATATGATACTCGTATGTTCCTACTTCAACTCTCGAGAATCTGAAACAAACGAAACTCGTGTCCAATATACAGGGTGTCCGGTAACTAACAGACCAATGATTACAAATGGATTCTTTGGTCAATTTGGGAACGATTTTTCCTCAGCGAAAATGTCGAAAAAGGTCATCATTTTTTACAACTTTCCAATCTTTGTCATTATGTATCTTTATAACTAAGCCTTAAATTAAAATTTTATTATAGTAAACTCTACCTGAAATTAACTGAAGAATGTAATTATGTTAGACTTTTAACTCCAAAACGTTTAGTTTTCAAAAAACCTATTTTTTTCAATCGCTTATAACTCGAAAATTATTGACTTCTCAACATTTTTGCTAAGGAAAAATCGTCTCCAAATTGGCCAGAGAATCCGCCCTTAATCATTGGTCCGTTAGTTACCGGACACCTTGTATATATTATATAAAAGTGTATAGCACGTCAGAAGCTTGTGAGCTTACAGCGATAAGTAAAAACAATTGCGTATTTATTTCATTGCGTTTATCTGTTTAAACGCGCGCTTTAATTTTTCCAACGTTTTTGCCTGTTTATATTTTAAAGGTCCTCTCTTCTAAAAATCTTGTTTTAAAGATCCTCTCCGCGAGCAAAATTCGAAAACATAAATTATTTAATATTTTTACTTTATTATTTGTAAATCCTCGGTAATTTCAAAATTTTTCTATTTGAAAATTATTAATTTTCTATTGCCAATTAATTTTATCACAGACTTTACTCTTACTCCCATTGCACTTTCGTTTGCGGTTTTCAGTATACGATTTTTTATCGTAGTTACTGAAAATTATTATTGTGAATTATACTTGTGCAGTGATTTGAAGAATTTACAATTTCGTTGAAATTGTTGATTTTTCAAAAAAATTACGAGATTCGCGGAAATTGCGTGCTTTCTTGGCATTTTCCGTTCGCGGCAGGCGGTTTATTTTTGATTGTTGCAAGTGTTTTTTTTTTTTTTATTAAAATAGATAATAATAATGTGAAATAAATCACGATATTTGACAGATGTGCATATATATAGAAATTGTAATAATAATAATATTATATCATAAAATTGTAAATTGTTTCAATTTTTTATAGACTGCGATAAAAGATTTTACATTTGGATAAGAAACTGCGGTAAGTAAAAATATAAAATTCTTGAAAACGTAAAAATATTTGATAACGTAAAAAGGTGAACTTTGAAAAATAAGGAACTTAAAAATTGCACTAATAAATGGGCTATATATATGTGAGCCGTGCGCGGATGTAAGGTGTGTTATATCGAAATTTAATTAATAGAATTGAGAATTAATCCCAATTTTAAGTCTTACAAATGTCCAAGCTAATTTTTTGTACCTCGTGTACATTTTTGAAAGTTATATCGAAAAATTAAATTTCAATATGCGTCTTACATCTCACATTTCGCATACGGCTCACATATAGCCTATTTATCTCTTATACTTTATTTCAACCCTTATAGAAATTTATTACTAGTAACGCCAATTTATCACTTATTTCGAGTAATTAATCACTTTTATTTCGAATACTTAAATTACTGTATATTATAGTATTTTAAATACTCAAAATAAGTGATTAATTGGCGTAGTGATAAATTTCTACAAGAGAATAAGGAGCCTTTAAATTCTTAATGTAAAAAATTTCAAGTAATTTTCTTTAATAAAATTTAATTAAAAAATTTAATTAAAAAATTTTGAACACTGTGTTATATCACATTTAAAATCGTGATTATTTCAATAAAAAAACATTTTATGTGTAAAAAATATATTTTTTATATTTAATAAATTTTATATATATATGCATATATGTAAAATATTCTCTCTCTCTCTCTCTCTCTCTCTCTCTCTCTCTCACACACACACACACACACACACACACACACACGGGGGCCAAATCTCTCAAATTGGTCTCATGATCAATTAGCCTGGATTCGCACCAGGGGCAAAGTCTGTTGGTAATGTCAAACGAATTTAGCCTGGACTTGCACCAGGGGCAAAGTCTTTTGGTCGAGTCTACGAAATTTAGCACGGACTCGAACCAGGGGCAAAGTCTTTTGGTTCAAGTCTACGAATTTAGCACGGACTCGAACCAGGGGCAAAGTGTGTCGGTAAGGGGCAAAGTCTATCGCACGAAGATGGCGGTCTCTTCTTTAGGCAGGCCTTTGGCGATCTGTCTATTAATCTGTGGTATAAGCAAGTTGCCCCGCAAAAAAGAGAGAACGCCCTCTTTTCTCCCTAGCCTAGGCGTAGGAAGAGAAAAGAACCGTCGTCCGGACGTGACACTATAGGTTTGTTCGCGTTGCATGCCCCAACTTGCTTCTTTTTACTTCAATGCGCTCGTATTGGTCCAATTCGAGGAGTGCACCAATACGAGCGCATTAGAGTAAAAAGGAGCATGTTGGGGCATGCGACGCGAACAAACCTTATACAACTTCACAAAAAAAGCAGAAATCACCATATTTATTGAAACCTGCAACAAATTCCCTACAACAAGCACATTGTGGCATATAGGCGAATCCCCCAGATGCCTTAGCAGCCATACAGAAAAAGAAGAAGATTCGATCGATATGACAGATTTCTTAACCTCACAAGTCATTTACAATAGCTTTTTTATGTGCTATTTTTTAAATATTGTGGCAATTTTAGTCATTACAACAATATTTTATACATATTAATATATATACATATAAATAAAATGTTATTGAAAAATTGGTAAGTAAAATTGACTTTTTGCATATTTTTTGAAAATTAAATCTTTAGTCTCATTTAAATTATATTATTTTATAAATATTTATTTTAAATTTTTATATATTAACATTTATACAGATTACTCGAGACTCAATGGGATGTTTTCGGCTTTGAAAGAGCAATATTAATAACTCTTTAAAAAAAGAGATTAATTTAAAATTAATTGGCTAATTACAGTCAGAATGATATTCGAACTAATCGATTACTTAAAGGATCCCCAATTAGTTGCAACAATTCAAAAATTTTTTGGTGTTAAAGTATATTATGATAAATATTTCGAGGAGTTTAAGTCCAAAAAAACAGCTCAAACTGAGAAGAGGGAACATACTCGTGTAAAAGTTGATTGTAATGAAGAAAATTATATTTGGCTTTTTATAATAAAAAAATAAACGGCTATAATACAAACAGTTCAAAAAAATTCAATGGATGCACAGAACAACCAGAATTTTTAAATCAACAAAAAAGTGAATTAATAAACAGAGAACAAACTTCATCACTTTCAGAAAATCCACATTATGCAATCACTAATTTATTTTGGTATTATCTATTTTTGTTTGGAACTGAACTAGGAGATGAAATCTTTTATTCATCTTTTATACCTTTCTTGTTTTGGAATATTGATGGAGCTGTTGGTCGAAGAGTAGTCTTAGTATGGGCCATTGTTATGACTATTGGTAAAATAAATTATATAAGTAATAAGAGTATGTCACTTTATGTATATGTATAATGTTGTGTAATTTATTTTTAAATTTGTCATTTTCAGGCCAGGCATTAAAAGATATAATTTGTTGGCCTAGGCCAGCATGTCCCCCAGCAGTTAGATTACAAAATAAATGGTCACAAGAATATGGAATGCCATCTACTCATGCCATGGTCGGTCTTGCAATTCCATTTAGCATAGTATTATTTACAATGAACAAATATATTTATCCATTTTTTATTGGTTGCTTTATTGCTTTAGTTTGGTAAGTTATTTATTGTAATCTTATTATTAATCACCTATTAATATTTGTTAATTACTTTTATTAATGTAAAATAATTGAATTGTGAAACATGCAAGATTCTTCTAGGTGTGTACTTGTCAGTATGAGCAGACTCTATTTAGGTATGCACACTGTATTGGATATTGTTGTTGGATTAGTATTAACAGTTGTGTTAATGATTCCATTGGTACCTTTAGTAGATGTAACAAATTCTTACATCATTACCAGTTTTTGGTTGTCAGCAATCTTGATGATAATCACTATCGTTGTTATTATGTATTATCCACTCAGTGATAAATGGACACCTACCAGGTATATATAAGTCATTGATATATCATATATTATTGTACAAGCAGTTGAATTTTATTGTCATATAATTTTGATTTATTTCAGAAGTGACACTGCTATGGTTGTGTCAGTCACAGCAGGGATTCACATGGGAGCATGGCTTAGTTATTATACTGGTATATTAAGTGCATCGTTAATTTCACCACCTTACTATATCGTTTGGCCAACATATTCTATGCTTGGTCATCTGATTCTTAGAACTATATTTGGTTTTTCTACTGTTATTGCAACGAAAATTCTCTGCAAATACCTCAGTTACATTATAGTATGTGCCATATTACAAATTAATTGCAAGGAGCTTATGAAATGCCAGGATTATAGTGGAAATCAAAATAAAGTATTTGTCGATTTAATCTACAAATATGTAGCATGTTTCATGATAGGTATAATTACAGTATATTTATTGCCACAAATTTTTAGTATGATAGGTATTGAACGATCAGCATTTTATACAGAAATGTGAAACATTAAATATGCAATTTATTGTTTAGTTTATTATATTGTTCTCTGAAATATACTTTATATCTTGTTTACTTATTGAGCATTTTTATAATTTTAGCAAGAGATCTAGAAAGAAAAATTATATTTATTTGATATACAGAACATATTTTTTAAGTTTGAAACTCATAGAAAACTTTTAAAGAAATAAAAAATTATTTTGATAAACTTGTCAAAATTTGTTTAAAGAGGTAATTATGGAATTAAAATTATTCTTTAGTGTATAAACTTTTTATTTTTGTTTTATAAATATATCTATTCGTAATATCTGAAAAAATAAGAATATATACAGTGGAAAATAGGAAAATATACAAATAAGAGAGAAACATAAATTATTCTTACCATAAGACTATAATCCAAAAAGGCTTTTGCATTATTTGTTTCAAGTGTATATGGAAGTAAAATATCATAACTAGCTTTCTTATCTGTGACATTTATGCGATCAAAATTAATTAATACTATTACATCCTCAACTGAAACCTAAAAGTGAAAAATTATATAATACCTATCCAAATGAATGTTGCTAATCTGTAAAATAATTTATTTAGTAATTTTGTGACTCACACTTTTTGACAAGTGAAATAAAATTATTAAATGCTCAGCTGGACCTTTTAATGGTTCTTTTAAAATTACATAATCCATTTGTGCAGTATTGTTTTTTTGTACACAAGTTGTGTTACTGGTAGGTGTTACAGAATCAGAAATTTCTTCGATTAGTAATTTGTGATCTTTTGTCTTTTTAAGCTCACGATTTTCTATTCTATGCTGTTGCAATTTCCCCATCACCTGTAATTTTATTCATTCATATATTTTAAATAAATCCTTATATATCTTTTTATGTACACTTACTGTTCGATTTTTAAGAATAACATAATTTTCCATATCAAATTTTTTGTCATATTTATCTGACACTGCATTTAGTATAACTAATATTGTAAATGTCATAAAATGTTTTTTCTCTTGACACTTTTAAAATATGCTTTATTTATCATGACATCGTATGTTGCACTGAGTGTACCAGCTATAAAAAAATATATATAAATTTACAGATAACATTTACTTAAAAGATAATTCATAAATATTCTAATATTTGAAAAATTGAAAGATTTTGTCATTACATTTATCAGCTTCCATTCTTTCAGCACAAATGCTCATCGGTATAGTATAAGTAACTACTTCATCATTTAAAAATTCAAATAATTTAGCATCAGGTATATCTTCTGGTGGTGGAATTTTATCAGACACACATATGTTCACAAAAATCTTTTTTCCATCAGTTGTTCTAGTTTTTATACAAATACCTGTAATCATCATATTGCAAAAATATTCTTATTCATAATAAGTAATCTGTAATGTTATACAAACCAGGAGTAGGTTGCACAAGGATAGATGGTTTTGAATCAAATTGTTTCATTAACTCGTCCATCTGCTGATTTAAAGCATCTCTATCTCTATTTCTATCCTGTTAAACAGATTGAATATTGTATATATTCTTGCCATTTTTTATATTTAATTTGATTTGATATATTTTAATTTGATATATTTATCATGTATTTACTGGTAGTAATAAATTTCTAATTTTGATAGAGTCATCAATATCGAGAAATGTGTTGTCATTCATAATTATTCAACCACAGATAAAATAAAAACGCAGTTTTCACTTTTCTAAGCAATTATTATTATTATTTAAATACTTTGATATGCAATGTTCAATTTTTCAATTAAAGCAGAGAGAAAGCTGAGAGTGGCCACCGAGATTTAGCGGCCGCGTGTACTAGTGCGCCCCCTGATAAAGTGGACATAAACTACGTCGGGACGCTCGGTAAAAAGCACAGTAAATGGTTCGATTCCGTGATATGGTTCATGTCTGAACTATTCAGCTAATTGTAAGAACAAGAACCAAGTTAAAAACCGAACAGTTAAGTCAGACAAGGACAAAATGATCCATCGCTCTGGCTTTGTCTCACCTCACCGATGCGTCTCATGGACTCGTGCGGTCGCAGGCCTTAAGGTATTTTTTCATGTGCAGCATACTGTCGCAGCAGTTTGTTGCTATTGGTGAAGTTCAAGTGAACAATGTAACATCCCGTCATTTTTCGAAACCATATTTTGGTGTGCTACAAATCCTTCTGAATAATTACTTAAGAAATGTAATTGCATTTCTCAATATTATTATTATTATTCATTATTTATAATTATTGGGACGATTTTACTAACCGTACTAACATATAGGGTCTTCCTAATTTTAACTAAGCGGCTCAGCCAATCGGACAGCGCCACTAGACCATACCGGAGCGCATACTTCCAACCACACGTATACATTCGTGCGACTAACTGAACCGCATATAAATGTGACACTAACATGTTCAAAATTAAGAAACAATAGGACTTATGGAATCATAACATAATAATATAATATAATTATAATATTTCGAATACTCGAATGATTGATAAGATGCTTCAACCACCTTTATAATAAAGGCTCTAGCCTTAATAAAGTTATTATGAAGATTCCATAAATCTCTAGCGATGCCTAATCTGAGAAACGCCATTTTATCGGGCGTTAACTTGTCAATTATATTCACGAAACCTTACCTTCTAGATTATTGAATAATCTCATCAAAAATGACATCTCAAGAATTTAAGATTTTAAGATCTAATATATAATAAATAAATTACAGTAAGGTTTACGTAAATATAACTAAGAGAAAAGGCATATATTGTATCATGTAATCGAAATATATAAACCGAACTCTCGCCGCTACATTGTGGAATTGTAATCGTATAATTTAGAAATTCTCAGCGTTCTTGCTCATATATTAGCGACAATTTTTTACCTTATAATTTTATTTTTCAATTTTAAGTAATATAAGATAAATTATATGAATTGTGCGATTTCACGTTTATAAGAAATAAGCACATCTATGCGCGAACTCTCTGAAATACGCTCGTTAAAATAATCATGTTGATTAAATTTATATCCGTTAGTTTAAGGCGACATAATTCTCAGCTCTTTGTCTGCCGAAAATCCTTGCTTACTGTTCGACGCTTCTTGAAATCTGTATCATGGCCGAATCGTTATGCACCCTTCCTCCATACCGCATCGCCTCGATACCCTACGCACCGAAGCTCATATGTATGTCATAAATTCTGCCTCTATTTGGAACTCTTGCTCTCCTAGACATTCCATTGGCTCTCCTCCTTTTTTCCACACACATCACTTGCATCAATGATCTCGAGATACAGTTTATGAAGGAATCCCCACCAAAGGACGTAAAGCACAAGGACTTTTTCCGATTTCGGTGGGTATATAAGCTCTGCGGTCCCAGCATCTGGGCGGCATAATTATACACGGCATATTACGGCACACTAGATACTGCATCTCATTGTGTCACTCTAAATTTCTGTACAAAACTTTGTCACGCGTTCGCCGTCGACGACGTTGACTTCTTTCATTAATTCTTGATCGCGCATAGTTTGTAAAGTAAAGAGAGTTACAATAAAGAACTTTACAGCATCAGAATCTGTGTACTTTTGATTTCGCTACGCGCATCACGACCGTGGTCTTCTAAGGGGGTGACGGCAGGTGAACGTGGTGCAGATCGACGCTATATAAAAGTTCATCCAACGTAAGGTAAGTACCTTTCACACTAACCAAGACTTCTCTAATATATTACTCGCATGAGAATCTAAATTTTGTTCAGAAGTCGCGCTAGATCAATAATTATCATCATTCTACTATTATTCTTCTATGCCCTCTTTCCCTATTCTTTTATAATCATCGAGCAGTACAGTTTTGCCCTTGATTATTTTACGCCTTCTTCCTCTATTCTTTCATAATCGTCGGGCACTGTGTTCTGCTCTTGACGATTTTGCGCCTTCTTTCTCTATTGTCGAGCACCTTTCTTTCGTCTCGTCAATGCTTTAAATAATCATCGAGCACTACAGTTCTGCCCTTGATGATTTTGCGCCTTTTTCCTTTATTCTTTCATAATCGTCGGGCACTGCGTTCTGCTCTTGACAATTTTGCGCTTTCTTTCTCTATTGTCGAGCACCATTCTTTCGTCTCATCAATGCTTTAAATAATCCTCGAGCACTGCGTTCTGCCCTTGATGATTTTGCGCCTTCTTCCTTTATTCTTTAATAATCGTCGGGCACTGCGTTCTGCTCTTGACGATTTTGCGTCTTCTTTCTCCATTGACGAACACCCTTTTTTCGTCTCGTCAATGCTTTAATAATCATTGAGCACTGCGTTCTGCTCTTGATTATTTCGCGCCTGCTCTATCTATTCTTTTATAATCATCGAGCAAGTACGTTTCTTCCCTTGATGATTTTGCGCCTATTCTTTTATAATCGTCGAGAAGTACATTTCCGCTCTTGATAATTCGCCTTATTTCCCACCACTAAACTTTCTTCACCTCCCTAGAATTACCCATTTACCTCCCCTTACTGCATAAAACCAAATAAATATTTTGATCTAGACGCATTCTAATTAATATAGATAAAATATCTCTACTTGGTAACTCCATTGCAGATGAACAACCGAAAAGCTAAAAACGAACGGCGAAGTAAACGAAACATTCGAGCCGGCGTACAGACCCGTGCAAAGCACGTAGTCTCGTGCCTGCGTTGATTAACACGCGAACAGATTGCTAATAAACCTCGCATCAAAACAATCCAGACGGTTTTGTTCCCTTGATACATGTTGCGCAGCTTTTGGAAGACTAGCATTAACTCTACCAATTCACAAGCAGCTTTAACATCCGCGTCTAACCGAATTAAAACTGAGCCTACGGAAGGCCACACTTTAGACCTACCGGCAGCCGCTTCAGACCTATTAACTTACCTCGAATTAAACCGAAAATCCAAATCTAAAGAAGATACCTCACAAGGAGAGCTATCACCTATCGATTTAAATACTAAAGAACCAATTACCAGAAAGACATACGGAAATAGACCAATACACAGCCTATTTGCAAAATTAAATTAAGTAACATCTGTATACTCATATAAAATACCCAATAAAATGAAATAAACCTATCTATTTGTTAATTCAAATGAGACCTAAATTTTCGGATAAGACTGTACAAAAACTCAGGAAAATAGGTCTTTATTCTATTATCAATAATATTATTATTGGACTATTAATTGACTTAGCTACAGGATTAATAGATATCGATTTGTTCACAGTCCTCGTAGAAAATCTTTATATTCCCAAAGGGAAATTGAGAGTAGAAATTATAAGATATCCAGAGGACAATTTTGACTTCTTTTACAATTTATAAATGAACTGTACAATTGTTGATAGAGCTATAAAAGAGTTTATGCGAAAATTGTTATTCAAAACATTAGTTGGTGTCGTTTGTGATTTTATGACGGACGATTTGACCGCCGACGAAGTAATCTCCATTTTAGAAAACTTTAAGAATCTTACACGAGGTCTCGCCACGCCTACTTAAATTTCCCATCCTAGTGCCTTCCCAGCCCCCAGATCTCCAACATCAGTTCTAATCTCGGCGTCCCTGGGGTATAGCCGGTGTAAGCAGATTGCCCCGCAAAAAATAGAGCCCTCTTTTCTTCCTAGCCTAGGCGTAGGAAGAGAAAAGAACCGTCTTCCGGACGTGACACTATACAACTTCACAAAAAAAGCAGAAATTACCATATAATTTATTGAAACCTGCAACAAATTCCCTACAACAAGCACATTGTGGCATATAGGCGAATCCCCCAGATGCCTTAGCAGCCATACAGAAAAAGAAGAAGAAGACTTGATCGATATGACAGATTTCTTAATTTCATAAGTCATTTACAATAGCAAAAATCGTAATTTTAACCTCGAAATAATAAGAGAACAAAGAAATATGCTCTAATAAATTTTGATCACGTGACTGATTTGCTGCTGCAGCATGCTGCGTATGAAAAGAGTTCTGTGAAGTTAGCCTACTAAAATTAGATTTTCAAAGTTTCAATAATTGGAATCAATAGTTGGTCTTTTATCAGCACAGACCAGGGTCTTTTAATAATTGTTGGTTATATTTTAGCTTTTGTTGGTTATTAGTTTGATTGTTATTAAAAAAATAAATATCAAAATGTGAAGTTAGCCTACCTAAATATACAATTTCAATAGATCTTAATTAATTATGAAAATCTCTCCTCCAATTTTAAAGTCGACCAGACTGGCAATAATTTATTTTAAATAATTAGTTTAATTTACAACGTTTCGGCTGTCATTGCAGCCCTTTTCAAGTAATCTATAAACAATTATATACATATAAATATAATCTTAATGCGCTTAATCATACAAATAATTATAAATTTACAAAAATATATATGTTTACATACCAGATTAATACAATAAATCATATTTACAGCAAACCCCCGACAAAATTCACCATTGTTTTGATGAACAATGTATAACTGACAGAAGTAAGCCCGAAATAAATAGATGTTGACTGTTAGTAGAAAACTTAGTCATTACGCGTTGAGGAAATATAAAACCAAAGTACTGTGTCTTTCGCAATTTTTAAACCGTCAATACAAAGTCAAATAAATAGATAAATAAATAAATAAATAAATAAATATGTAACATATGACAATATAATATATTAAATAGCTTCAAGAACGCGATCATAAATCCCACTGAAATTCTCCGTATCTTTTTGTAAATTAATGCTTTTTCTTTGGTTTTTTATATAGAACATTTCTGCTATTTCTCTTTTTCTCGTTTGTTTTTCTTGATGCAGAATCACAGGAGAATCCCAACGGAACTCATGATCGTTACA